TTGTTTGTACGGGACCTCTGGATGGAAATCTGTGTTTCCCGTGTGAAACTTTTCACTCTCACAGAAGCTATCAGTTGTGTTATTGTAAACTAAGAACACCTGCGAACTGTTTATAGTATAGTAGAAAAATATTCTCACAATGGATGTTTTAGGATTTCAGCCAATCACCCCAGGTGGGGCGGCTGACCTCTTGACCAATTAGGCTATGAAGAAAAAAGTCTATAAAATAGTTGTTAAATAATTAAAGGAATCACCATTGCTGCACCATTCCTGCCTGCCAGATCTTTCTCTTCTCTCTTCTACTACTGCGGGATACGGCGATACAAATCCACTTTGACTCCTTGACCTATCATGACTGCCCCTCATTGCAGAGTTGTGTCCAAAACCACAAATCAATTGAAGATTGTATTGCTCTTACTGGAATGGTTGGCACGAGTGCTGGATTTACACAGGTAAAAATTCTGTCCTGCTTCCAAATAGGAAGTTACACTTTTTAGCAAGTGTAAGCAGGCCTGGTGAGGAAACAAAGTTTGGTCTTGGGATCCACCCAGGTAGCTCAGTCAGTCAGATGAGACTGAAAAGTTCTTAAAAATAGTGCAGAAAGGAATACAGCTAAGTCCATGAAAGACACAGGCCTAAAGTCTACTTGCTTGCAACAAGGACAAACCCGAACAACTCCAAATTTATGCAACAAGAAGCATCTGCAGTCCCTGGATGGTGAAAAGCAGCAATACTGGCTGCTCTGTGAGCTACTCCAATATTCCAAGCATTGCTCTAGACAATGTGATGGCTTTGGTCCATAGTGATCTCTACTTTGTTACTGTGGGAACAAGAAGAAAGAACTTCTAAGCTGTTTTAGGCACCAAAGATACATATTTCTTTTTACTCAGTCATTTGGGGTCTTATCTGCTTTGTACTTCTGAGAATATGCCAATTTGAGTGGTCAAAATGTGCAGGCTCTAGAATTTCCTTTATTTGCTGTAGGTACTATTTATAACTTACAACACATTAAAAGAACAAGTTTGTAAGTTATATTATTTATCTTCTATTGCGTCTTACTGAACACCAGAGCTATGTTTACTTCCACAGTTCCAATGTCCTTATCTTGAGTTGATTCCTGAATGTCCTTCAGGAATGGGGCAGTGGGGGGGGTGGTGGTGGAAATGGTTTTAATCTGGAAGAGGGTAGATTTAGACTGGATATTGGGAAGAAATTCTTTACTGTGAGGGTGATGAGACACTGGCACAGGTTGGCCAGGGAAGCTGTGGATGCCCCCTCCCTGGAAGTGTTCAAGGCCAGGTTAGATGAGGCTTTGGGCAGCCTGGTCTGGTGGAGGTGTCCCATCCAACCTAACCCTTCTATGATTCACACCTTTTAAAGACTTGCATATTTGATTTTGCTAGCTTCTGCTTCCATTCCATGTGCAATACTGCACATTCATAATGCTCATATATGGTAAATTTTAAATTTCATTTAAAGTTGCTCTAGCTCTGACTGACGTATCTGAGTACAAAACAAAGAACCATATTAAAGAATGCTTCCTATTTCTTTTTCTTAGCTTCTCATCCTTGTAAGAGAAGGATACACATTACTAACATGCTCACATCTCATTATCCCTAAAAACTTTGCCAGTAGTTCTATCAAAGCAGGAGCTGACTAACTTTGTAAAAATGCTGTAAACATCTTCTGCATTGAGATAAAAGTGAATGTAAATGCTCTCAATGCGAGAAGAATTATGCAGATTGCAACTATCTTTGGGCAGGACAAATATCCTCCTTCAAATGGAGTAACAGTCCTAGCTGCAAGAAAACTGAATTAATTTGCCTGCTTATGAGTATACTTCCAACCTTTACTCAGCCTTCTCATGAGTTTTAAAGACTAGAATTTATTGTAGCTTGTCTTTAATTCACACCATAATAATTGTTTAAATCTTGCTTTGTTTTTAATTAAAACGTGTTCACTTTCATACCATCAACCTTCTTTTGATTCTCAAGCACAAATAGTGCGGAGAGTAAAAAGAAATCCAGGCCAAGGCTTAAAAGCATTCTACATCACTGAAGTCACTATTTAGTCTAACTTTCCCTTTTCGAAGCAAGAGTGCCAGTTGGCATCTTCTGTAGTATGTGTTGTCTTCATACCTTTTTACTGCTGTTACCAGTAACGAAAATAATCACAGAACTGCTCCACAGCACAATGCATGGATAGTGCCCTCACTTTAAAACACGTTCAATCAAGAAAAAAATAAAATTCTTCCAAGTAGGAAATCTCGAGACTTTTGTCCTACAAGGAAACATGAAAGAGGCCAGCACCAAGAAGCACAGCAGTGTTTTCTAGGAAAAAAAATAAGCAGCACTGCAGAAAAAGCAGTCTTAAATTTAGGTCCTTATACTGCTGTTACCTTTCCAGAGATACTTTCCCTGAAAACCCATGAGTCAGGAAAAGCAGCATTCTAGCTCTGCTAAGGGTGTAAGAGGAACAGGCTGGTAGCAATAACACCTCCTTCCTGCACCTGTAATTTAAAAACTTGCACGATGCATGCTCTTGACATTGAGATTATAAAAGTCCTGTGAAGAACAACAGACTGGAATTATTCCTCTCTCTGCTTCCATTCCTGGGAGTCAATTTGGGTGACTCAGTCCAGACTCTCTGTATTTATGCCCAGTAGCTGCTCGATACCTCAACAACAGTGAGATTTCCATGACTTCCTCACACGGTATATTCTAGTGCTTTGCGAACTGTACTGGTTTGCCAGCTTTCACTAATGCCTAATTTGTCTTCTTTGTGTCAGCTGAAGTCTTTTATTGCTGCTTCTTGTCAGCATCAGACTGTTCTGTGTTTGTCGACTGGTACTATAGTCTCTTTTACTTTAGATAGAATCAAGTGTGTGTAAAAACTATGACCTAAACCAGAACTGTAGAAAAGAACAGAACAACAGAACTTTGATGGTTCCTTTCTTGCCCTCATCCGGACCTTCCACTTAATCAACTTCTTTCTTAAAGTACAATGCTCAAAAGGAAAACTGAGTTTTACCAGCAATGAGTGAAAAAGGGTTCCTTCATGTATTTGGTAAGATTTGCATATACTGCAAATTCCATCTGATGGCTGTATTTTTTTTTCCCTCCAGCACGATCCTGACTTACCACCTGGAACTCTTGACGTTCCTGCAGAGCTGCTCTGTCACTGTCTCCTCCCTGGCCTCTACCTGTGGAACCTCTTGCCCATGTGTGGTACCTGTGACTGTTCTTGGGGGAACAGAAATAATTAGTAAACACACAAGTTTAATTTAGCCTTCTGCACTGCAATTCCTCTTTTAGAATACAACCAACCAAAAAAACCTAACCAATTTGAAGAGATCCACCCAGTCAAGGCAGAACACTTGGATGCAGCAATGCAGCCAAATAAGAAGTCCTGCGTACCTGGTTCTTTGCTGTTGACACTACTGTTTGTACACCTACCTGAAATACACGGTCATAACGAAGGAAAATAACTATGCATCCAATTTTATAAAAGTCAGATTAAAATGAAATGAAAATTCCTCTTTATCACATCTGTAACTGACTTCAAGTGCATCTCTCTCAATGCCATTACTACTTTGAAAAAACATACAGAAAAAACCATGCAAGTGTAGTTTATCATTTAATAGAAAAACTGTATTGCTAACAGCACAGCAGTCTCTTAAACAGTTACCAAGTGCTGTTCTATGAATTAATTTTGCAAATTAAAAAGAGTATAAACCCAAGCAATCATTTTAAAAAGGCATTTACACCAGTTATTTCAAGATGTACACATCAAGGGAAGCAGCACCATAACTTCATAAGGAACAAATCCCATCCATCATTTAAACAGCTAGGAACGAGCCATTTCATACCAAAAAAATACAGATGTTCACGTAAGTACCACACTTACTAATACACTTCAGAAAAACCTAAATAATCCAAACAATTGCACACCATTTTGTTTCCTCATACTCATGGTTTTGTAATGCTATTCTGCAGAGTTCTTTGCAACCTAGCTATGTTGGCATCCAAGGCTGCTAAGCCATTCTTAAAGTCCTCTTCATCTCGAGATGTGAATGTCGAGAAAGAGGATACACTCCACTCAGACTTCCCAGATATATCATCAAATGAAATGCAACTAAACTCAGAGATTTGTCTGCCATCTTGCTGAGAAGTCTCTTTCTGAAATAGCATCGGTACATGAGGGTATGTACCAGGCTGAGGTTGGTCTGCTTTGTCTGTGAAGTCTTCTGCAGTGCCTTTTGGCCTCATTTGGACTTTGTGGCCTTCTGCCTTTGCCTTATCCCCTGTAATTTCAAGCGCCTTTTTCACACCATACCCAGCACTTAATCTATCCAGAATAGCTGGATCCTTGGCAGTCTCACATCCATTCTGCTGCACAGACTTTGAGAGCTCACAGTGGTAGTTCAGCATCTTACAGGCCTCTCTACTTCGAGGTAGCACACCAGTTCTTTCAGAGATAGGCTGCTGTTTTTTAGAGGCACTGCCAGTCAATGGAATATAAATAGTCTCATCCAACTTGGTCTGATCATCTAGTAAAGTCCCAGAATCACAAACTGTTTCTGCGTCTTGCTTGTTAGTAGTAGATGTCAGTAGTATTCTGGGAGCTGATCTTCCTTCTTCTGAGAATGTACCGTTTATTTTATTTCCTTCAGGAGCAAGCTTTTCATAGGCTAGATTTCGCATTTCTAATTCTCCACTTTGACTTGAGTCTTGAGGTTCTGTGTCTGTCAAAATATGATCCATTTCTAATTTTTTAAGGTAAGTCATTACTGAAGTATTCCCAGGAAACAGCTCAGGTTGCATCTGCTTTTCATGGTTTTCCAAAAGAGACTTCGAGAGACCTTTTTCAGGTTTGGGTCTAATGTTGTCTACTGTGAGGTCCGACAGAAGCTTGGCCATACTGCCCTGCAAGGTTCTGTAAAGAAAAGATCAATTAATCAGATTTTAAAAGTCACTAAAAAAAACAGTAAAAAAATTTTATATAACACCAAAACATTAGATTTATCAGACTGCAGCAAATTTATGATTCTCTTTCTACAAGCTGTCATAAAACGTAGCATAAATGTGAATCAATTCCAAGTTTGTAGAATTCCTTTCCTCAGCTCAGCTTATTTCCTCTGTAAAGTAACTAAAATAGCACAACCCAATGAAGTTTTCAAGGTTATTGCTGATTTACCTGCTTTGAGTACTACAAAATGAATTTGGGAAGAACCTGTTACAAAGCATATAGAAAAGTTATCAAAATCAATGAGAGATTTTTTTCTGAATTATTCTTCCCAATGTACCTAAAAAAATATATACAATAAAGGAAATAATTCTTCTCATTTTCTGCTTTGTACTTCACAAGAAATGAACACTTAAATGCTTACATACAGAGCATATACATATATATGTAATACTACATCATTATACCACCACCTGGTGGTCAGTACAGTAGTCACAGAACTGTAAAATGAGTCTAAACTTCTACTAAAGAATCTGGTGTTGATTAAAAATATTCTGCCATTCCAACCAGTATCAAATATAAACACGAGAGACAGCAGTTTAACTTCCTGCACACATTGTGTCCAAACAGATTTTATGTACATACCACTTTGCATGTGCAAAAACCTATTTAAGTCTCCCACCTTGCCACTATAGAAAGAAAGAGAGAGAGTGGGAAAGACAGAGAGAGAGAAAGAAAGAGAGAGAGAAAGAAAGAGAGAAAGAAAGAGAAAGAGAAAAAAAGAAACCAATCCCTCCTTAATTCACGTTAAGAGTTAGTTTTCAAATTCTACAGCTTCAAGGGAAATACTGGTAGGTTTTCAGGTCCATGCACTTCCCATAGAGCTCCTTATCAGCACATCTGCTATTAATACTTTGCACAAGTTATGGTGGATAGCATTTTACTTTACAACAGAACTCAAGTCGTGGAGCACAACTACTCAGTTTTAACAAAATTATAGCACCGTTGTAGCAAAAGTATAAAGAGAAGTTTTAGCCTACGTGGCCTCCTACCACCGAGATACTAAGATTACAATGACCCAAAGTATGGGAAAAAGAAACAAAAAAAGTGATGTCAAGAGGCAAACCAAAGTAGCTTAGCCAGTAATACCTGGTTAACTCACGCAGTCTGTTAACTTCTGCATCGCGCTGACGTAACGTTATGCCCAAAATCTTATTTTCTTTCTCTGAAGCTTCCAGCTTAAACTGAAGGCTCTTCACGTTTGCTAATGCGTCTTCTACTTCTAAAATGCCAACAAGAATTTACCACATTATATCTTTTAAGTTTTAAAACGTTAAATGAAGAATAAACAAATTCAAAACACAAACCAATCTTGAGCTTGGTGGAATGAATGTCATAATGCTGTTTGTTTTCAAGCAATTCTTCTTCTTTCTCTTGAATACTTTTTGCAAGATGTTTATTTTCTTCTTTCTGACTCTCTATTAGTTTAAGTAGTTCTTCATTTTTAGCCTGCAGTGACTCAAGGTCTTTCAGGGATTCTTTCAATTGACTCTGGAGCATCATATTCAAGGACTGCAAAGAAACTACTACCAAAAGTAAAACATAAAAAGTGTAAGTGTTTGGTGTCTAATCTATTCTGGTTTGAATATCTAAATCAAACGAAGTGTTAGAATAATCTTGGTAATACAAATTTTCCATACAGACAGGTGTTTTTGAGAAAGCAAGATAAAACTCAAGCTGTCTTCTTGACTATCTAACGTCATCTTCATTTTAAGATGCACATAAGGAAAAATCTCCTCAACTGCTGAAGAGCTGAGTCTCGTTATGTGGAGTCTAAACAGGCACAATAATCCATGCAAATGCAGTTGCATGATTAGACCCACAACACTTACTTCAGTTGCCACTAATGGCCACAATACGTACTGCTATTTTTTATTTATATACCTTTAAATATGTGGTTATTTACATACATTTTTAACAAAATTACTCCTAGCAAGCACCATTCTGTCAGTACTTTACATTCATAGTTGCAGCTCTGTCCAGATATCTTCTCACTTCTTTCCTGTTCCGTGAGTTGCTGGTTTAATATTCTCAGTCTCCTAAATGGGAATTGTGAAAAAGCACAAATTCAGAAAGTTCAGAATACGTTCAAAACCACTGCATTTTAAATTAGTTTGGTAAGAAGTTGCTACTGAGAATTAAATGTCACAGAATGTTTCAGAAATATAAAAATGTTTTAATAATGCGTTTTTCTTACATTCCTATATTTCTTCAACACAAAAGACTCTTTGCAAGTTCTGGTAAATACCTTTCCGTCTGTTCTGAAGTAAAGTGCTACTCAGTTATGTATTTGAGAGCCCCTCCTTGAAATGAGAGCCATTTTTGCATTCAAGATTACACTGCAAATTTAACATAAGCAGGATAACTATGTTGATACTGCAGTTTTCAAAGAGAATCACATAGTGATCTCACCTAGACAAAGGCCCAATCAGAATGTAACTAACGCTACTAAAACATCAGCATTAACTGAAGTCTTGCTATGTAAAACTATATAGCCCTACCAACACTTTCTAATATATAAATAGTGCAGACAAGAACTAAAGGACCATAACACATCATAACAATGCTAAAATATGCAATTTAGAACAGACCAGTTAAAGATGTTTTTGGCTTATCTGCAGTAAATACAGAACCACTGATGAGTTACCAACCTACGCAGCTGGGCATTTTCACTTCTAAGAGGCTGTAAAGCCAGTGCTATTTCAGCTTGGATATTCATACTTCCCACTACAGCTGGGAGCAATGATATGCAGTCTTCTATTTCAGTCATCAACCTTAACACTTCTGAGTCATCTGCGAGGAGTGAGGGAAAAGAAGACCCCATAAACATATAAACCTGTATATATCAGTAACATTTTATATGCAATTAAGCAATCTACAAAGTGAAACAATAGTATCTACTTTTGTCCCCCAAAGAAAACCTCATCTTTATTTTAACTATATTTATTTAAAATTTTTAAACTTGACTATGAAAATGATGCTTTAGGTTCTTGACAAATCACAACCCACCAGCTCTCCAACCAACCTTGGTGGGATTGCTGTTGTAATCTGTCTACACTGCTCCCTTTCTCAGGGGAAAGCACTGTATATGAAATGAGAACAATCTTTATCCTGTTAAGATAATGTTAAAATACTCCAAAAAAAATTTAGTACTTATCCAGAGTGAAACATGAAGCTATTGCAGTTGTGGAAAACCACTCTAGTGTCACATATCATCTGACACATGCAACTTCCAGAAACTGAAGTGCTTGCTCATTTAATGCAGCTCTTGTGTTATTTGTATGTAATCACTCTACTGCACAACGAACATATTCTCACCTTGATCTGTTATCAGTGCTCTGAGCTCTCCCAGAAGATATTTTACAGTCTTAACTTGATAGGCTGTTTCTTCTGGACTTTCTTTTCTAGATTTTACAACTTTTTTCACAAAATTTGTCTTACAGTTTGCATCTCTCACTGGAGCTATGTCAAGTACATTCAAATCATCTTCTTCACTGATCGTTTCCTCACTATGTTCTTCAGAAGCATCCTCCTCCTTGTTACTTGAAGCATTATGATTTGCTGGACAATGATGATGGTGCTTCTGTGCAGTGTTGTCGTTCACCGTTTTGTGAGATTGTAACAGGGCCAAATGAGCCTGTATGCATCTTATCAAATCTGCTTCTTTTATCTGTTGCTCAGGGTGCAGGGTCACCTCTCTGCCAGATGATGAGATGCCTGGAGGCACTGTAGAATTACTTGCTGCACCTGGTGTTATACAAGGGATCGCACTAGCAGTGGCAGACTGTATTTGCACAGCAGTAGCAGGAGCAGCAGAAAGTACTGGGCGAACCACAGGTCCTCCCATCTCTGGTATACATACATTGCCACTGTCTACAGGAACATCCTGCATAAAGAATATTCATATTAAACATAAAATTAACATGGATTTTTTTTTAAACCTTAAAAAACTCAAAAAAACCTTCTTGGACTTAATAGTCTTGATAATTCTTTCCAAATTATAAAACCAGCTACAACTCATTAATTGCATAATTTTCCAGTGTATTACAGATTAAAATGTAAATCTGGTTTAGATTACCTGTATCTTAAATGTAAAGCACAGTTCTCTTTCAGCTGTTCTGTAAAAAAACCTCAGCAGTGGTTTGCTGTTGTTTAAGTTTTTTTGTTTTGTTTTCTTTATGAACAGTCATCCCTTGATTCAAACCAGAACAGGGAAGGGGAAAAAAAATCCAAAACACTGTCACCTTTCAATATTTTAAGCAGATTAATTTCTTAAAAATGAAGGACAGCACTAGCTATACATGGACTGACTGCAGATGGAAGGTAAGTCTACAGTCTTACAGTTTCAAGGTGCAAGCCCTTTACATTTCCCAAGGTGGTGGTTGGTACGCTCCATCAGTTCTATTCTATACCCTGAATTACCCAAGTACAAAAGTACTTTAAAGTGTGCCTCTAAGATAATACAGAGTGTCTGAAGAAACAAACAACTTCATCATTGGTAGGGAAAAGCCATGGATGAAATATAAATTACTTTATCGGGAGTTGGTTAATGATTTTAATGTGTGTTACTACAAATGTAATTATTAAGAGTAATGAACAATTTCCTGCATCTTCCATATTTGCTGTCCATCACAGAATTCACCATGCAGAAACAAGCAGCTGGTTGAAATGCCTCTAATTTCATTTTTTGGTGTCTGTATAAAATGGATTTTAAATAGCAGTATTTTCCCTCTTTATTTATTCTGTTCATCACAATAGGTTTCATATGTGACTTTTTTAAAGGAAAACTATTACATAAATGCAAGAAAAACCATACACTTACATAATTGTCTAAATAAATAAGCAGTGCTAATTCAAAACATTTATTAGTAGCCAGAATCAAACTTTTACTTACTGACTGAGTAGATAAGGGATTAGCTGGCTGCTGCAGGGACAGAGCTCGTGTGCGGGTAGGTAACTGATAATTAAAAGCTGTAACACTTGGACAGCCTGAAGAAAACAACATTCATAGATCAGGGCAATTTTGGGCAAAACTCATACAGTAAGATAGCAGGCTCTACACTAATACTCACCGTGAGTTGAGGTAGGAAAAGAAGTTACAGTAGGAATTTCATTACTGTTCTGTGGTGGTCGGCCAGTTATCAGAGACATCTGAGTTTGCACATGCTCGCAGAGCTTCTGATGCATCACAGGAGAGTGCTGAGTGCAGCAAGGCACGTGAATAGGTTGAACCATCTGATTCTGTGCTGCACTGGGAAGTTCTTTCTCAGTAGAAGGTGTGGCAGACAAGGCAAGTTTTCCATGTGATACTGGCACTATAGAGAAAACAAATAACCCAGCTGATGTTGTCTGTCTTCCTGATTTACAAAAACCCAGTGTGTCATCAGGCAGACTCTGGCAGGTTCTTGAAAAAGAAAACCAGAAGACCCTACAGCCTAAGATTCCAGTCAGACTTTTACTCACCAGCAAATTAATCTATTGGTTTTTTCTTCTAGACAGAGCAATCTAACCCAGCTGGACAGACTGCTGTCCTTGAAAGAAGCAGAGAGATTTAATCCTACAGAAGGCCAGTTCTAAAATGCAATTCTTAAAATCTCTCCTTACCTGCTTCCTAAGATTTTAGGGCATTTGGAACAACCCATACCAAAGTTCTCTCCAAACCTTGTTTTCTTATGTTGAGTATAATTAAAACTGTATTTTTATAGTGCTGGAAAGACACCAGCTACGTTCTCACCTTCTACCATTCACAAAACAGCCATGCTGCTACATACCTACTCCATAGGTCCCACTTGTGTACTGGATTAGAAATCATACAAAAGAAACGGTGGAAAGAGGGAGAAACACAGATAAAAAGTGAAATATTTCAAATTAAAGCAACTCAGCGTAGAACACTCCATTTACCTTTCCATTCAAGTGCTCTGGCTACTGAACTATTTGAGTCCTTAATATTTATTGCAACACTTTCATCTTTTCAGAAACTGATCTTTGAGAAAAGCCTGGCTGGACACCCAACTCCAGAACACTTTATAGCTGTGTATCCCAGAGACCAAGCACTGTAATGCTCCACTGTCCAAGAGAAATGAGGCACGGGTATTATCATTCTCCTCCACACTTCCTACCAGTTAAACTTGACGATGTTGGTATTTGTAAACACACTCAACTTTCTTCCTTGTACATGAAGCTCAAACATTTGTGAATTTTAGTAACTGTTCAGTAAACATCTAAGATTTCTAAAAGACAATGAGTAATGTCTACATCCTTTTGTGGATCCAGCCCTGGATCAACCTATAACAAACAACAACAATTAAGCAAAGCCTTGTTATACCTCAGTAAGTGGAGGAGTCTCTCAATGTTGTTTGAGAAAAAAAAAAGCAAGCTCAAGAAAGGCCACTTACCAGTTTCTTTTTGGATGTGGGCAGGAGTAATATTTTTTTTCAACCCCTTCTTCTTCAAAGTATTTCCTCTGGTTAGCAAAGGCTTGGAAGTAATTTTAACAGAAGCTGTTTTCCCAGGTTGTTTATGGATAGTCTCCCTTCCTAGTATCAGTCGAAAGAAAAACTAGTAAACAAAACAAATCAAAATAGTCTCACAAAACTAAAAATGTAACTTGAATTTACAATAGGTACAACCTGTAGCCTCATTTTGCAAGATATTCTTCAGTAAAGCTGCACAACGGTCAAGTCCATTATGAATAGTACCAACCTGCACAAAGAACACTGCAGTCAGAAAATAAGCACCACTGTTTTCTTTCAGTAAACCAAGATACTATTTTAGAGGGGAGTGTTCCCCACACCATCACCTGAAAAAGAACAACTGTTAACCACCAAAACCGTGCCATTTTCCATGTATTACCTGGGAATTACATGAAACACAGATTTTGCAAAAGAAAAAACTGTGTTCTTGCACACGTGTCCATTTGCTGGATTTTATGTTTTGGTAATGGCTCGTATACGCTTTTTATTCTTATGTCCACATACACTTAAGCTTTTTATCTACAGCCTATTTCTGTTCTGGAGATAACTGACCCAGCACTACGCAGAAAACAGCACTGCAGCACTGACTTCATATAACTCACCTTTTTTCGCCACAAAACTAACAAATATGGCTATACCTCTGCCAGGGCCAGCCCTTGTTCTGTGTGTAAAATAAACACCTTGTTCTGTGTGTAAAATATATCATGCGCCTTAATGAGATTTGTCAGAGTCAAACTCATTGTGCACAAAACCAACTTGCATGCATGTCCAAGATGCAATACAGATACTCTTGCTAGCTTTGCAGGAGCCATTTCTAGTCCAGATGAAGTAGCACCTAAATTAACCTGCTTTTCTTCTATTATTCAGGCTATTCCAGTTTCCCTTCTGTTTAGATAACAGAGATGACTGCAATAAAAAGTCATTTAATTACCTGTTTGTTGGAGTCAGTGGAATAGAGAGAGTATCCAGACTCCACATCAGAATGACATCCTTTCCTTAAGCTAAACCTGAAAAAGTCAAATTCACTGTTTATACTACCTCCTTGATATGCAGTGAAGCAAAAGAAAATACTTTTACTCAATAATAGCAATCTAAATTAATTTTATCAAGAAACAAAATATCTTTCTGAAAACTTTGCATTGCTGCAAGAAACATGTTTAGCAGATATTAACAGCTTCTGTCAAAGGAGAATTCAGTCCTCAGTCAACATTCTTACAGACACCTAGTAACTACAAAAATTCAATCATTTATAAATAAAACACGCAGAAAAAGACAAAATTTCTCTTCAGCTTGTGTCTGTCTATTCATGGGCTGCTCAGAACCCAGACATACTGCCTTTCAGCTAAAACCATTTTCTGATACATACAAAGAATTTCTGGCTAGCTGTGTGGTATGACAAGCATAACATTGCCAAACACTCACACGTATGCTTAATCTTAGATAGTATCCATGATTAAGGTCTTACTGTTTTGTTCCGTTTGTTAATTTAGCTGCTCCTGTTAGCCTTCCAGAAGACAGTACCTGTTAATTACAGAAATATACTTTGATTTTCACAACATAACGGAGACTACCATTACCCACTAATTCCAAGCACTTTTACTGAGGTAGATCGGTTAATTTACACCTGTCAGATCGAGAAGGGACCCACTACTGCCATTAGGGCCTGAATTGTGGTAGTTTTCATTTCACAAAACATACCTTTTGCTGTGTGAAGCTTCATTAATATAATAATTCTAATACAGTAATCCTACAGATGCAGTAATTCACTTAATGCCACGGTCAAGGGCAGACATACAAACAAGCCTTCCAGATTGGACCCAAGCTCTATAAATACACACCTCAACTTTGGGGATTTTAAGAATAAACTGCTCAAACCACGGACACATCGAGGAGGAAGAAAGCTGGGACGTAAAGCTTGCTGCGGTGCCCCTCTTACCGACACCTAGAAACCCGCTGAGCCCTGAGGAAGGGTTGCTGGGCTAAGCCCAGGAAAGCAAAGCCCCTCGGCGCCGGAAGGCCCGACTCCCACTCAGGAGTCGTTACACTGATCGCCGAGCCCCCCACTCGGCGGGGACACCTCCTCAGCCCCCTCCCGAGCAAATCAGGGCCTCATGAGGCACCTAAAGAGAGGGCTGAGGCGCCGACTACAGACGAAGAGAGCCCCCCTCTTCCCCCGGAACCATCGCCCCGCACGCACCTTGCAGGGCCGCGCACCCGCCCGCCTGGCCATGGCCCCT